TTGCGTGCTGCGATCAGACCCTTCCGTTGTCGCCAATTAGTCGTGCAGGGAGATCTCGGTCTCGGGTCATCGGAGCGGGTGGCGTTCTGTCCAGGCTCGATTACCACTGCGGCGGCGCCTGGCACCACGGATGCCCCCGCTGCTGCGGAAGCCGCCTCCTTAGCCGTTGTGACTACAAGGAGGTTGGCGGCGGCCGTTAACTTCCGCGCCTCCGCGATCTCGCCCTTCTCCATCATTTCCTGAGCAACCAGCAGGCTCCGCGAAACGGTTTCCTGGGCACCAGACAGCGACGAAAGCAATGTCCGAAGTTTCGTTGCACCCTCCTCCCCCGCTGCTGCGGAGGCTGGTGCTGAATCTGCCAGTCCCTGCGGAACTGCATCAGGGACCTCCTCTGGCAGCCCCCGCTGCTGCGGAGACTTCGGCAGAGGTTCCTGCGCGGTTCCAGTCGCGCCTTGCTGCTCCATGCCCTGGACCGCCCCCGTCGCGGAGGCGGGCGGGCGCGGCGGGGGGCAGACCTGCAACGGCTGCGGATTCACTTTATCGCAATGCCATCCCTCCCTGCGCTCAAATGACTTTTCCCATTGCGCCAGTCTGCTGCCCCCACTTCTGAACTACCTCATCCCTTCTACCTCTCCCTGCTCCCTCCTCTTCCTGTTCAGTCCTCCCTCCTCCCTCCACCGTGCTGATTTCTCCTTGCTCCCTTCTCTGCTCCACCTACGTGGGGCATTTCACGACAACGACGACGACGACGGCGAGAACGATGACCACGACGGCGACAACGAGAACAACGACGACCACGACGACGACGACGAGGACGATGACCACGACGGCTACCAGCGACGACGTCTAGCGACGACGACGATCGACGACGACGACGCCGACCACGACGACGACGGCGAGGACGACAACGAGCGACGACGACGACGACAATCGACGCCGGCGAGGAACGACGACGACGAACGAGGACGACGATTACGACGACGAGATGACGAAGGATCGAAGATCGAACCTCGAAGTGCGAAGCTTCGACATTCAAACTTCGATCTTCGAACTCCGAACTTCCAGCTTCTAACTGCGAACGTCGCTGGGGTGCCAGGGATGGACTGGGATGGAGGGAAAAATGGGAAGGAAAAACGAGGAAGCGGGAGAGGAAGTTGGAGGAGAACGAACAGGCGTGGAGCGACGAGGAACGGGCGGCGAGGAGCCGACGTTGAGGGCGGCGGGATGGGGGGACAGGGAGGAGAGGGAAGACTTCTTAACGAAGATCGCGCCACGGCGCCTGCACGCGCGCCCCCGATCTCGGCGGCCGACGCGCGCGCCCCTGCAGAAATGCAACGCGCCCTTCATTCGAGCCCCGCTGCTGCGGAGCCACCTACTCCACAACCAAATCGTCTGGGGAGCTGCTCGGACCCCAAACTACTAGTTCTTCAGCCACTTGGCTCTTGCGAGTCCGCCCTCATGACAAGGGCAACCTTCACATGGGGACACTCAATGGGGTGTTGATTGAGAACGCCCCATGTGGCTGGTGGCAGGAACGGACGAGGGGGGGCGGATAGAGGAGCAGGACGAGACCTGGCAGGGGATATGCACCAGGAGAGAGATCTCATGGAGGAAGAGGGGGGGAGGGGACGAGAGCCACTCATAAATAAGCGCACGCAGGCCCACGCACGTGCTCCATTTCTCAGCGACCGCCGCGCCGCCATGAGAACTGTCGTACCACCGCCGCTACTGCGGCGGATGCGTGACCTCTCCCATCACTGTCCTGTGCTGTTTCTGCTACCACCCTCCCCCCTTCCAGCCGAGCTCGGGTTTCATGCTCGGAGACGGGCGCGGCTGGCGGCTCTTAGTGCGGGTGCGCGTGCTGCCTCCAACTCCTCATCCCCCTCCTCCTCCTCTCCTCATCCTCCCTCCTCTTCCTCCTCATCCTCCTCTATCGGCCCAGCTCCGATCGCCGCTCAGCTCCCCTGGTGCGGCTGGCGGCAAAAGTACCGAATATTGCCTGGGATGTCCTTCACCGTCTTCTTCGACATCTCAAGCATCATCTTGCCCTTCTCCTCGGTACGGCGCGCCTCCTCCATCATCTGCCGCGCCTGGTCGACGAGCATCTGGCCCTTCTCTCCAACGGCGCGTGCATGGCGGCAACGATTGCGCCACTCGAAAAAACCGCATCACCATGGTCGCCCAGTTCCAAACACTGCCCTCCGTCGCGATGAGCTCGAAGCCATCGACGTCGTACTTGCCCGCGATGCTCGCCATAGCGGCGCAACGGCCGCGAAGGGGCCTCCTCTGGCAGTCCCCGCTGCTGCGGAGACTTCGGCAGAGGCTCCTGCGCGGTTCCGTCGCGGAGGCGGGCGGGCGCGGCGGGAGGCAGACCTGCAACGGCTGCGGCTTCACTTTATCGCATTTCCATCCCTCCCTGCACTCACATGGCTTTTCCCATTGCGCCAGTCTGCTGCTCCCACTTCTGAACTACCACATCCCTTCTACCTCCATCTGCACCCTCCTCTTCCTGTTCAATCCTCCCTCCTCCCTCCACCGTGCTCATATCTCCTTACTCCCTTCTCTGCTCCTCCTACGTGGGGCGTTTCACGACAGCGACGAGGACGATGACCACGACGGCGACAACGAGGACGACGACGACCGCGACGACGACGACGAGGACGATGACCACGACGGCGACCAGCGACGACGACTAGCGACGACGACGACCGACGACGACGACGCCGACCACGACGACGACGGCGACGACGACAACGAGCGACGACGACAACGACAATCGACGCCGACGAGGAACGACGACGACCAACGAGGACGACGATTACGACGACGAGATGACGAAGGTTCGAAAATCGAACCTCGAAGTGCGAAGCTTCGAAATTCAAACTGCGACCTTCGAACTCCGAACTTCGAACTTCGAACTGCGAACTTCGCTGGGGTGCCAGGGGCGCAATGGGATGGAAGGAAAAATGTGAAGGAGAGAACGAGGAGGCGGGAGAGGAAATTGGAGGAGAACGAACGGGCGTGGAGCGACGAGGAACGGGCGGCGAGGAGCCGACGTTGAGGGCGGCGGGATGGGGGGACAGGGAGGAGAGGGAAGACTTCATAACGAAGATCGCGCCACGGCGCCTGCACGCGCGCTCCCGATCTCGGCGGCCGACGCGCGCGCCCCCGCCGAAATGCGACGCGCCCTTCGTTCGAGCCCCGCTGCTGCTGCGGAGCCATCTACTCCGCAACCAAATCGTCTGGGGAGTTATTCGGCCCCAAAACTACTGGTTTGCCAGCCGCTGCTGCGGACGCCGAGGGCCTGGTGCTGGACGCCGCGGCCCCGCTGCTGCGGGGCCCCTGAGAAGGCGTCGGCCCCCCCTTCTCTCTGGCGGCGTCGAACTTGACCTTACGCTCCACACCGAGGTCCTTGTACCAGCGAAAAGTTCCTGACCCGTTGCTCCCGCCCAAACCCGCGGCTGGTGGCCTCACCGTGTCCGCGCGGGGGACGAGGGGCAGAGCTTCGACCTTCCTGTCGCCCCAGTGCGGGTGTAAACGGACGCCTGTCCCGTCGTCGCGGTGCAACACGAAATCCCACATCGGCAGCTTCACATTCACCCGCTGCCCCGCGAACTGTCGCGCGCGCACAATACTCTGACGCATGTGGTCGTAGCTGTTTGGCCGGACTTCGAGGGGGCAGCCGATCAGAGCCCCGCTGCTGCGGGGCCCCTCCACGACCTCCCTGATATCTTCCTCCCTGAGCGTCGCCACCATCTCTTGCCACCGCCAAGGGACTTCCTCGTCGCTTTTGAAACCAAAGCTCGTTCTCGCACCGTGGTGGTGGGCTCCGCATTGTCAAACCACCTGGCCTCTGACTCGAACGGGGCAGTTGGGTCTTCATTCAGATGGCGCCACCATTTCAACGCTTGGTTGTGTTGCTTAAACGAAGTGCCGAGCCTCTCTTCATAACTCAAAAAATAATTAACATCAAACTTCTCAAAATCCTGGGGCCCGCGCGCCGCCGCCGCAGCGGTGGCGCGGGGCTCCTGCGCCGCAGGCGCGGCTCGGGATCCCGACCCCTCTCCTGAAACTGTGTTCCCAGGTTCTGGTGAGTTTCGGAGGGCAGCCCTCACGAAATTATCGAATTCGGGCATGCCGAGACCAGGGGCGCGGGGGCTCACAACGCTAAGCGCGGCGAAGCGAGACGGCCGTTGAGGCGAGACCGCCGCCGCTGCTGCGGCGGCAGGGCCATCGCGCAATTTGGCGTCCTCCGTTGGCGTGTGCCCGTCTTGTCGCCAGTCTCTCCAACCCCTCGCTGACCAATCATGGCCGTCCTCCCAGCCACGCCAGCCGCTGCTGCGGCTATCCCACCATCCCCCCGCGCCACCCCATGTGTATCCGCCTGCATCGCCCATTGCAAGACGATGGCGCAGGCGCGCCTTAGGCCGCGATGGGCCCGGCTGCACCGGTGCTCACGGGCGATCCCACGGGCGCGGGATGGTTTGAGCATAGCGGCGACGGACGACGCGATGTGATTGGACGGCGGAGAACTTGAAAGGAAGGGGGGTTGGAAACGGATGAACGAAGTGGACGAAGAGCGGAAATCGAACCAGAGGGGGGGGCGAAAAAAGAGCGGAAGATAATGAGGACATGCAGACGAAGGAGAGTGACGAGGTAGATGGCGGGCCAGAACGGCAACGGAGGATAATATGGTGGAAATTGTGAAAAGGACGCATGGAAAAACACGACGAGGATCACAGACGCAAAGATGATGAGCGCAGTGGTAGCATGACATATCCGAAATCAAGAAGCTGGATGACGAGGAACGGGATGACGAGCAACTCTGTCGCAGAGAGCCTCCGAACGCACCCCCTCTGTCACAGAGGGCCTCCGAACGCACCCCCTCTGTCACAGAGGGCCTCCGAAAAACACCCCCTCTGTCACAGAGGGGGGAAATGATCACTTTAATGCGGCTTCTGGATTAATGGGAGGTCGTTCAGGCTGCTGGCGCAAATCGCCTGCATGGCTCTCTCGACGCGGCCGGGCTCGTCGTGCGGCATGGCGTCGGCCTTCCACATATTGACGATAGCCTTCGCGAGGCACTCCCGGTACGCCTCGCGGGTCCCGCGACGCTGGTCAAGGATCTTGCCGACCTTGCGCGGGAAGCCGTTGAGGGCAGCCGTGGACTTGTCTGGGTTGAGGCCCAATCGGGTCCAGAACTGTGGCTTCGCGGGCAGCGCCATGGCGTGGGCGCGGCGGCGAAGAGGCGGAGTGTCGTGGGCGCTGCGGGCCCTGGGGCGACGGGGTCGGACTGGCTGGGCCAAGGTTGCTGTGGTCACGGACGTGGTCATACGGCACGCCGAGGAGGGGAAGGGCAGGAGGGTCGAGCTCGGTCATGCCCTGCACGCAGGGCTGTCCGGCAGGCCGGCCCCATCTTGAGCGTATAGGGCGGGGGGGGGTAGGCGACGCGCCGAGCAGGCCCCGAGGGGCTGCCGTACGAGGCCTCCCTTCTTGAATGCACACGGCGGAAAGGGAGGTCAGGCGGGCCGGGGGCACGAAGAGGGGGGCGGAGGGGAAGGGGAGGGGAGGGCAGGGGGAAGGGAAGGAAGGCAGAGGCAGGGCAGGCACCCCCCGTAGCGGCCAGGCTGCCGGGCGCATAGAGCACCCGACGCCAGGTGCATAGAGCACCCGGCATGCCTCATCCCGCTGCTCCCCCGACGCCACTGGGCCGCCACTGGCGCCGGGTGCATAGAGCACCCGGCCTGGGCCTCGGCCGTCACTGCCCCCCATGGGTGGGTGGAGGGCGGAAGAAAGGGAAGGAAAAGGGAGGAAAGGGGGAACGGCAAGAGGAGAGGGCAGAAAGGGGAGGAGGGGAAGGCAGAGGGGGAGAGGAGGGGGGAGGCAGGCGCAACCGCCGCTCTGTGCCCCCCCTGATTCGCAGCTGCTCCCCCGTGCTCCTTTATTTCTTTCTTCCCGCGCTCGCAGTGCCAGCTCCCCCGCCCGCGCTGCTGGTGTGGGTCCGCACAGCGCCTGCGGTGGCGCTGTGGTTTTGGCGCTGCGGTCGCGCCGGGGTCTGGCTGAGCCCCCCAGCTGGTCCCCCCCAGCCGCGCAGGTCAGGGGGGGGCCACGCCGCGGGAGACGACCACGACGGCGGCGGCGGCGACGACGACGGCGGCAGCAACGGCGACGACGACGACGACGATGGCGACGGCGACGACGACGACGACGACGGCGGCGACGACGACGACGACGACGACGGCGGCGGCGGCGGCGGCGACGGCGGCAGCGACGACGGCGGCGGCGACGGCGGCGGCGGCAGCGGCGGCGACAACGGCGGCGGCGGCGGCGACGTTGGCCCCTGGCCCCCCGTCCCCTGGGGTTGACCTGCGCGCATGCCTACCTGGCCTGGCCAGAGCTGGGCTGGGGGCTGCGCCGGCGGGCGGGGCGGTGGCGGCGGGCCGGCGGCGGCGGGTGTCGCGCCGCCTGGGGGCAGCTGGCGCGCGCCTCTCCTCCCGCAGCTTCAGTCCGGGGGGGGGGGGGGCGGGGCCCGGAACGCACCACCCAAGACTGGGTCCGTGGGCCGCGCATCCACGTGGCTCAGGGCCGCCCCCCACGGGCCCAGACGGGGCGCGCCGGGGACTGCCCGGGGGGCCGCCAAGGA